ATGATTTGACACATAGGGTGGAGCATTCATTAGTTTTCCAAGAGCAATATTTTAGAAGGTTTGGATTTTCGAGGTATTTGACTTTTTCGCATTGTCCTATTACTGAAGCCGTTGGTCCATAGTGATTTCAATAGCGTTTTATATAAACAGTTTTATTCTAATTGAGGTGTATTCATTGTTACATAATAAGAGCTTGAGCATGCGAAGACGATTATTTAATGCTAATATTGTAGTTCTTATATGAAGAGCCCACGTTAGTCTTTGATTTAGAGTAAGGCCGAGGTATTTGATACTTGGAAATACCGTATAGAAAGACTCCAGGACAAGGAGTAAGTTTGAAAGTAAAGGTTGTGTGAACTGATTTACTTTAGTTTACTTTGACCCGCCATTTGGTAAACCATTTTTGTAATTAAAGTTTTATCATCAGCGAACTCAGCTACTAACGTATTGGGGGTAGTAGGTTGGTCAGAAGCAAATATGTTATGAAGTAAACAGTGATAATTATTTTCTTGTTATTTAATTATGAAAATAAAATATGTTACAAGTCAAAAACATAATATTATGTAGACCATATTATAGTAGTATAGTTTAAAGTTATAACTTATACTTAAATGTTATAATTAGGGCGCGGATTTTTATGTAAATACATATTTTTATTGAATGCAGATATCTTTGTCCTGGTTAAAAATAAGCACGTTTCATAACACCCTGAATAAAATGACAATTTTTTATGTTACATATTTTCACATATTTGGTGGTAAATACATATTTCTAAATATTTTATTAATAAGTACATATTTTGCAAATATTTCATATTTTATAAATGTAGGTACTTATTAAATTTCCAGAAATGTTAGAATTAACCATCTATCGACTTTATCGACGTCGTAAATATTGATTACGACTTTTGATGTACTTATTACATTTCCAGAAATGATAAAAATAACCATTTATCGACGTCTATCGACTTTATCGACGTCGCGCGTCGTAAATTTGATGTCACCATATCGGTTAGTGTTACCTAGTATTATTCAGTCTGCTGTTGTGCTGTTGTGCGTGTATACTGTATATTTACTATATTTATTCGTTCCGCGTTCGTGCGTGTTTTTTACGTTGTAAGTGAGTTTATATTCGTTTAATTGTGCCTGTGCGTGTATAACACTGATAAAAAATATGCCCAAAATTCCTTCAACAAAAAAAGCAAAAGTAGCTCAATACCTTTTAGAATTCCCTAATGAAACTTTTAAGAGTGATGGGCACGTGTTACTTTGTGTAGCTTGTGGACAATCTGTATCTTGTTTGCAACGTTCTTTAATAACTCAGTATATAAACACATCAAAGCATAAAGAAAATAAAGTGAGGAAAATTAAATTCAATCAGAATTTCATCACCTCTTCATCTTCGAATAGTAAGTCAACTTTTGATACCGATTTATGTAGAACATAAATCAAGGCTGACATCCCACTTACTAAATTAAAAAATCCAACTTTTAAAATGTTCTTGGAAAAGTACACTGGGCAAGCTGTTCCCGAAGAAAGCACTCTTCGAAAAAATTACGTTGAAGTTATTTATAATGAAACACTTTCTAAAATTCGAGATATCATTGGCAATGGTCCTATCTGGGTCTCAGTTGACGAAACTACAGATGTAGATGGTCGCTATATCGCCAATTGTGTAGTAGGAAAATTAAATTCCGAACCTTCCAAACCAATTGTTTTAAGCTGTGGTGAACTAACTAAGTGCAATCATCAAACAATCGCAAGATTTTTTAATGATGCGATGAGCTTATTATGGCCACAAGGCATACATCACGAAAATGTTTTGTTGTTCTTATCGGATGGTGCACCATATATGGTAAAAGCTGGAAAGGTTCTAACTACATTTTATCCAAAAATGTTGCATTTAACATGTATAGCGCACGGATTTCATCGTGTAGCTGAAACAGTTAGAGCACAGTTTCCACTTGTTGATTCATTAATTGCTACCATAAAAAAAGTATTCCTTAAAGCTCCTAGTAGAGTACTAAAATTTAAGGAGTTATATCCTAATTTATGCCTTCCTCCGGAGCCAATCATTACTCGGTGGGGAACGTGGTTAGCAGCAGTTAAATACTATTCGAACAATTTTGAAAAAATTAAAGACGTCATTTCAAATCTTGATTCGGATAATGCAATTTCTATTGCAAAAGCAAAAGATATTATGCAAAATAATGAGCTAAAAAATAATTTAGCATATATTTTAGCAAATTTTTGTTTTTTGGTTGAAGTCATAAAAAAATTAGAAACATCGAATCTCACATTAGTTGAAAGCCTAGAAATAGTGGAAAATGCAGCAAATACACTTAGTGAAGTCCAAGGAGAATCTGGAGTGATAATAAAAAATAAATTAAATGACGTACTAGCTAAAAATGTTGGTTTACAAAACATAAAAACTATTAGAAATATTCTTCTAAATACAAATGAAAACAATGGATCTATGGATATTGAATTTGCACCATCTGATATATCAAATATGAAATATGCCCCATTAACCTCAGTTGACGTGGAACGCTCTTTCAGCAGATACAAATCAATTTTAAGACCTAACCGCCGCACATTTAAATTTGAAAATCTCCAAATGTACATTGTTTCAAACTGTTTCGAAGACGACTGCAATGAAGATGAATAAATTAAAGTACAAAAAAAAAAAAATATGTTTTGTAACAGAATTCTATATTTTTATTACTTTTTTTGATGATTACAAATTAATTAAAAATACACATTTTTTGTTGTTAAATATTTCATGATTTTTTATACATATTTTGGCAAAAATAACAACATAAATATTTAAATATTTTGACTTTTTTATTACATAAAAATCCGCGCCCTAGTTATAATAAATCGGTCATGTCTCAATTATCATTAACGACAAACCGTTTCCTAGGAAAAATAAACATATTTTGCTAAAAATCGATTAATATTGAATTATTATAATTTATAGATACATTTTATACGTTCATATTTGACGTGATAATTCTATGATAGTACGGTATCAACTATCAGCACGATTGTAAAGAAGTAAAGAACATTATTTTAAAATAATTTTAACTAATACTTTATAATTGTGAATAGATACTAGTTTATTACCAAATACCAGCCGATTTCGTTATCAAAATATGGTAATACAGTGAAACCTGTATATAACGGACAGTCACTGGACCAAAATAATTGTCCGTTATAGACAGGTGTCCGTTGTAGACAGGTTTCAATGTTTTAAAAATAAAATTAATCTAAAAGCATGATCTATACATTTTGTTTGTATTGTTTTATATATTATAATATGTATTAGGTATAATCTTTATTAATGTTATACATTATACACATAATTATAAATTTAATTTTAATTATTATTTTTATATTATATACATACAATGACACATTATAAATTTAATATATATAATATATATATATATATAATATATATATATATATATATATATATATATATATTTATGTATATAATATATACATATTATATTAAGTTTACGAATAGACCAACCGCCATTTGAGTATTTAAAACGAATAATGTCCACCTTTTGTTTTAAATTGAAAGCTTTACGCGGCACGGTAGGTGGCATTGCTAAGGAAATGATGTACAACAACTCTGACTGCGAACCGATAAAAACATTAGAAACTGAATAAAAACGTTTAATACTCATAGTTATCATTTATACATATTGCAATTTATATCTGGATATATTTCTGTTAAATTGTATTAACCTAAATTGTTGCACAAATTTCAACTTTATAAATTCAATAGGTACTCGCAATTAGCATTATCGTAATCGGTGATAATGTAATTTATCGTAATCCGTGTTTTCACTGAATGACCTAATTGCGTTCTTTATCGACACTGTTTTGTAGTATGTATTTTTGTCCGTTATGAAATTTTTGGGTTAAATATTAGTGTCCGTGTCCGTAATAGAAGGAGTCCGTTATAGACAGGTCGAAATACATTGGAATGCCTATCTTTTTGCCGGGACCCGGACATTTTGTCCGTTAAGAGAAGTGTCCGTTATATACAGGTGTCCGTTAAGTCAGGTTTCACTGTATAAATAGTCTACTTTAATAGTTAAATATAAATTAAATAGACTATATAGTATAGTTCACAATTTATAACCCAAACTTTCAGTATCAAAGTATGTATCTACTTTGACATTGGTTAGTGGTTAATAATTAAAAAAAATAAGTGCTAAACTGAATCGGTGAGTAAAAGAAGGCGCAGAAAAAGCTCAAAGTATATTACTTATTGAAATAAGTTAAATTATTTTTAATTTTTTTATATATTTTTTAAGTAGGTATATCTAAGTGTGTTGTAGGTATCAAGAAAATTAAGGTAACCAAAGTATTCTATAGTCACAATGTCTTATTTTCAATATTAAATTTCAATTATAGATACTTTTGGAATTCAATTGGTAATTTTATTTGAATAAAAAATTAACAAAATGAAAATTGCCTTTTTATACTCTTACTTATAATTTTTACTCAAAAATACAAGAACTAAATGACACAAAGTACCAACATTGTATAAAGAACCAACCTAAATAGTAAATATAAAATAAACTCCAATGGTTCCAGTTTCTATAACAAATAAATCATTAAGAGAAAAATAATATTTTGGTCCACTTCTAATAGTAGTATTATTATTCTCCCAACACAAAATAAGTAAAATTTAAAAGTAGTAAAATTTATAATTAACATGTATAATTAATTCATTTATAATAAATATGTTATGGAGTGAAGTTAGAAACTTAATGGTTTTGTCATCACAATCTTAAAATTCTATAGACTTACTACAAATAGTAAATAATATATACCTACATGGAACATTAAAAATACAAATTATTCTTCAAATTCTAATTAATTTCAGAGAAATCTGTTATGAAGAGTCTCCACTCTTAGAATCAAAATGGTTATTATTTTATTTTTAATACAACTTCATAATATGAAACATATTATTTTTCAATTATTTTTTTGTGATTCTAGTTTTAACATAGCTGTTCTTAATGTTTTAAGAAGATTAACATCTGGACAACTTCTGCATTTTTTGATTTTAACTGTAGGTTCGATTGGTTTATTCTCTTTGTATTCAAAATGTTGACGGCTATACAACCTTAATAAAGAACCATAGTAATGAATGTGAGGGTGCAATACCTATAAATACACAAAAGTTTATAAGAGAAAACAGTAAAAAATTTATATAGTATTTATTGTTATAAGTAAACCTTTAACAGAGCTTGAGCCCCTTTTTGGCGACCACCAAGTTTATCTTTACAAATAACTGTTGCAGAATATTTTCTTATAATCATAGTGCAGCGATAATAATTGTCTCCATCAGACTCGTTTTGCATCTGATCCACTTCATATAAAAGATTTGAACTATTGCCAAAATTTCTATGTAAAAAAAAAAGACAAATCAATCATTTTTATTATTGTTTATACGAGTATTTTAAGTTAAGATGAATAACTGAATAGAAAATGTACTTGCTGAAGCAAAATTAAATTTTTCTAATTAAACATTACAAATATTATAACAAATTTTGAAAAAGCAATTTAAATTGCTATGAAACAATTTGATGGTTTATGTTAGATACTTATCATATATTATGCATTTATGAAAAAAATAGTAAATTATATTGATTGTAATTTTTAATATGCTTACTCCGATAATTAAAAAATTAAACCTTAAAGTACTACATTTTGCAAAATAAAACAAAATTATAAAATGGGCAAATAGGTAACCACTTGGCTGTACAGAAAAGTCAAGTATATATTGTCATTGAGTAGATCACTCTAATATATGTGTTAAATTTGAATACAATGAATCATTATGTATAAAAAAACGATTCTGAACGGAGATATTAGATTAGTTTATAAAACTATTAGTAATACAGTATAAATAGGTAATAACTTAAAATTAACTTAAATATTTTGAAAATATTATTGCATGTAATAAAATGTAACAATATTCATAAAAGTTTCAAATCCTACAAATATTTCAAAATTACAATAAAATAATTGTTGTTTTTTATATAGATATACAATTTTGTCTTAACGAGAAAATTTTAATCATTTATAAATAGCTAAATATATTTTGAAAATACTACTATAAACATAGTGAAAATTTCAAGTATTTACTTATTATTCATTTTTTTTTAGTTATAAAATAAAAAAATCAGTTTTGACTAAAATCTGTATTGCTTAAATATTTTTATTTTCCTATTTTTTTGTAATACAAATAAATTACTCCACTCAGAATCTTAAATAAAAAAAATAAGCATGGAATAATTAATCAATTTTAATAAAACAAATAAATACTAAATAGAAAGTAACATTTCAAAAAAAAAAAATATATCATATTTAAGAAGAGTAGTGTATTTAGTATTAGATAAAATATAGCATCATACCTTTTTATACAAAGCTTTAACATTTCATATGGTGTGGATTCGATAGACTGAGCACAAATTTGTGGTATTTTGGAATCTGTTACCTTAAGTTGGTCAAAGATCTAGAGCATAACACGTGTATCAATAAATTAAATAATTATTGTAGTGTCTATTATGGTAGCAGTTAATAATATTTACTTTGTAATGGTCAAGATAACTAATGTCTTCAATTCCATTTCTAGCTTGACTAGAACTATCAATATGAAATTGTTTGACAGATGGTAATAATATTTCAAGAGTAGCTTTTGCAGAATTCGTTTTAGCTTGTTTTTTGGTGGAGCCTGTACCAATTCCATATTGTATTTCATCTATGATTGCGATGGATAAATAAGGATACTTGGAATTTTCTTGAAAATTATTATACATTGTTAATTTTATACATGCTAATCATTTGATATTTCATACTAACCAAGTTCTTTGATCATAAATGAATGACTTGAGGTTTTTAGTACACGTTGAATGTATTCATGCAATATACTAATGTAACTTTTACCTTTTAAACTAATTAAAGTTTGAAGGTTTTCAGGATTAAATGCATTAGTATTGTTTTTGACTAAAATTTTAAATATATTAAATAAGCATAACAAATTATAACTGGATAAAAAATACTATAATAAAATAACAAATATAGAAATAATAATAGAAGTAATTACAATTTTTTTCTTACCAATATAATCAGAAGTAGTTGGAATTGATGTAGAAGTTTGAAGATTTTTAATCTTTAAATCGGCTTTTTGTTTTCGAATATATTGTCGACGTTTTGCCCATGAACTAAACAAGAAAAATAAAATAATGATGATTTTAAATGCCAGTTCTAAAAATAATAATACTTTAATAATAAATATTTACTTAAATTTATAACTTTTAATATTCTTGAATTTGAATACTTTACTACAGTAATTCCGATATTCGTCATGGCTTAAAGTTAATGGACATTCTGAAAAACAATATAAAATTCATACAAAATTACTATTGATATGTATAATATAATTGAAATATTGTAAAAATATTACTGTTTGAAGTTGTAGATGTTGAAGCGGCATATGTTTCATTATTTAATTTCTGATTTAAGCAAGGTACATTTTCTACTGGAATTTCATGATTCTAAAAAATTAAAAAAATACATTTTATAAAGTTTGATGAAAAAAAATAGTTTTAACAATAAATTTCAAATAATTTCTTACTTTGAGACTGCTCGCTCCAAGATAATATGGCTTTGAAAATGAGCATACTCTTGTTTCAGTATTCATGTAAATTGGCATATCACTATCATGATCTATTTTTTCCCATCCTTTAGGTAAATCATAACTGCAGCTAGTTGCACCTAAATCTAAAATATATAGTCATGGGTTCAGATAGGAAAAACAAGTTTATTCAAATGTACTATATTAACCTGTAGTTGTTTCATTTTTTTCTTTTTGGTATTCTTGTCTTATAATTGTCTCATTAAACTTGTTAATCTAAACATAATTTAAAATACATATTTAGTAAATCATTGGATGTTAATACACAAAAAGTAATAAAAAATTTATATCAGCAGTAAAAATTAATACTTTTTTTTGTCAAAATAAAAAGTTAAATCATTGAGTTCAAATTTGTTTGCAAAAAATGTCAGTAGTAAAATATAGTCTCAGATAAAAATTATTTTTAAAAAAACAATAGAAAAATATTAATTTTTTATTAGGTATTATAAAAAAATATAATTTATTTGCAACAATAATTGAAATTATTGAGTAAAATAAAAAAATAAAATTTGATTGAAAATTGTCAAGTTATGCTTACATATCTAAATGTACATTTGGTTCGTTTTCCCACAATGAAAATCAGAGTATAAGAGAGTAACATTATATGATAAATAATAATTAAAGTAAAAATCATTTTATTATTTTATTTGTTTTGAACATAAGCTAATTTTAATTTTTTTTTTTTTTTTTTTTAATGTTTATTTACAATATATATTTAATATAATACAATAAGTAAATTTGAGTAATAGAAATTTTGACATGAGTTTAGATGATAAGAGAAAATATTCATTGATATTACTTTTCAGTTAAGGCTAGGTAGAATGGAAAACATAATACATTAAGAGAAACCGTGTCAGGCACCCCGGATTACTCTACAAACTCAGATTCTTACCAACCCCTTACTACCTAATCATTCAATCCTTCTTATACAATAGGCATTTCAGAGTCTCATGCGACGATGCTTTTTCTAAATACCATACAATTAACGCTGGAGTTCCCCAAGGAAGAATCCTTGCTCCAACCCTCTACAATATATACACCTCAGATATCCCACACAACAATAACACTACCTTTGGAACCTTCGCAGATGATACTGGTATTATCGCCTCTGACACAAACCCTGAAACCGCATTATTCCTACTACAATCCCACCTTAACCAACTCCAAGGGTGGTTTCTAAAGTGGAGAATTAAAATAAACGAATCCAAATCATCTCACATAACTTTTGCTTTACGCCCCCGTGACTGCCCCCCCCCCAATCTACATCAATGACAGACAAATACCGTCTGAACTAACAGTAAAATATCTAGGGATGCATCTGGATAGACGTCTCATTTGGACAACTTACATCAAAACAAAAAGAAAATTATTAAATCACAGACTATACCAACTGCGTCCCCTATTAAAATCCAACTTGCCAATTCAGAAAAAAATACTAATATATAAAATATTCCTCAATCCTATAGCTACTTATGGAATCCACTTTTGGGGAGCTGCCAAAAATTCCAACTTAAAAAATCTACAAGCATTTCAATCAATATCCCTCAGAATAATAACCAATGCCCCCTAGTAGGTAAGTAATTTAACTCTCCATAATGACCTTAACATATCACCCATCTCTGACCAAGCCTCAAAATTATATAAACGTTTTCACAAAAAACTACATCATCACCCAAACCCCCTCATCGCCAATCTATCCACTATCGACCTACCCGGTACAACTCGTAGATTAAAAAGAAAATGGTCCAGAGACCTCTTATCCTAAGATCTAACAACGATTTATAAACTTGGATTCTGATTAATACCTAGCTTTTTTTCTTTTCTCTTTTAGTCACTTGAATTTAAAAAAATTGTTAAATGAATAGTGAATAATATTAATTATTAAATATATTGAAGATATGCATTGAATAAATTAATGTTACACATACATCCAATATGTTTAATAGAAAGAACTATTAAATGTAATTATCTAATTATATTAGTTTTTATACATGATAAAAATAAAATTGAATGAAGAGAGAAAGAGAAATTCTATAACTTGTAAAGTATTCTTATTACGTTACATCAAAATACCTATATATATTTTAATAAATAAACATAACTAGTGTCTATATAATAGCCTACCACCTAGTACAATATTGAAAAAGGGTCTAGTTACCAGACCCCAACTTCCTAAATATTAGCCAGCATTATATATTGTCCCATTCAGAACTCACCGAGGTAAAATGTATTTGTCAATAATACTCACCCTGTCATACTCGGAAATCGATTGTAAACACGTGAATGCCTCTTGTTAGGTTACAATAAGGTGAATTCTTATTTTTATTAGCCCTACTCGCATAATCAATTTATCGTACCTTTGACTGCAGCTGCATATCATATTCATCAACGCCGTCGTTAGTATCGGGTTCGGAGCCGTCGAATTCCAGATTAGATTTAACAACCTCAGACATAATGGTGGTGTGGGTGTTGTAGGAAACGTCAGGGTCAGACATCAATGGTGGAGTCACGGGAAAGAGGTATAAAGCACTATGCTAACGCCAAATCGCTTTTATGTGTAGCACTGTAGTAGTATTGATTCAACCAGCAAAGGTATCCCATTTATGTGTTTTATTGTATAAATGTGTGATCATCAGTGAATCTGCTCGTCCGTCACGTATATGCATTATTGAAGTTAACAGTGCAGTCCACATATAAGATAAAATAACATTTTTAATAAGGAATTTTTACCCATGGCGCCCCGCCAAACGTCCCGTTCGTTGATAGTAACTGGTTTTTCGCACAACTGGTTGTCGGTGAAAGGTGCGATAGATCTCAGGTGTCGGAGGTGTAGTGGTAGTTAACATTTTCGTGACTTCCCAGGTCTGTTTTGGTGGGACTGCGCACTGCTTGATTGTCGGAGTGTCGTCTTCACCCCTCGTCATAAGCACGAAATAATTCACAGTTTCATAACACAACCTTATCGTTTAGTGAACAAATTACAGATTAACTGTCGCCGGACTGGATTTTCAAAGGTACTAAAAGACCTTTAGCTCTGAGGTGACAAATTTATAAGAACCGTCTTCCTGTAACTTTATGTATCCATATAATATTTTACATAAAATATACGTTGTTTTAATAGTTCTTGATAATAAGGGGTACCGAATAGGGGTGGCTCTGAAATCGTGTACAGTTTAATATAATATTGTATAGCGAGTTATCAAAGTTATGTTTAACGGGGAAAACTACAGCGCCGTGTTAAAATGTAATTCCACTGTGGACACACATATTTTGTCGTTTCATAAATCCTTCTCTCCGCCCAATAATCGTCATTATTTAAAAAAATGATAATTGTGGTGAAAGATGATTTTGTATTGCCAAGTTTTTTAAACAAGGATATTTGTTGGCGAACGTGTTTATTATTTATATTTATATATTATATTATTCAATTACATACTGGATAATTAATTATTATATCAATAATTTATCATATCTAGTATAATTATTAAAATTTATATTTCGTTGTTACGGAAACAATTAAAAACGATTTAAGGTAAATTGAAATTATAGACGAAATCAAATTTTTAGGGTTCTAAAAAAATCCAAAACTACTCCCTCTCTCCCAACACTCACATAACTAAAATATGATTATATTATAATAAACTCTTAATAGTATAATGATTATTGGTTATTTTATTATTTTAATAAAATACTTCTATTTTTGTTAGTAAATAAATTTAAAATGCCATTGTTTTTAATATTTTCTATTATATTGTTTTCGATATATAGTATAGATACGTTACTAACATTATCCTGAAGCGTTGATATTCTCAAGTTTTAATGTTTCTTTTAATAGAGACTTCTCTCGCAACTTACAAGTAATTGAACTGAATAGGTAGGAATTGCCAATTTTATACACAACAACATTTTTCCGTCGCTGTTATCTAAGAATTTAAGACATTCTTTAAACACATCCATAAGAGACTAAAAAATATATACACATATTTTTTTTATACTTTTGCACCATTTTTTTAATGTTATCCTAATTTAAGCACTAATACACAGTGGCGGCATCATGATTTTTTTCTAGGTAAGGCCATTGTGAGACCAACAATTATAAGGTAGGACCACAAAAAATGAGATTTAAACAAAAAATTTTAAAATATGTAATTAGAAAAATTATACAATAATAAAATATAGAAGCATATTAATTTAAATTACATACAGACTGTACAGTGAACAAAATACAAATACCATTATTTTCTGCTTATGAAAAATAAGAATATTATTATTTTCAAGGTTAGGTCAGTATTAGTGCTACTGGTAGAGCCAGGCATTTTCAGTTAGGGCCATGGCCCTACTTGACTCGTCCCTAGCGCCGTCATTGCTGACACACTGTAAATACTCGTATATTAACTACAAATGTTACAACATTTTATTTAAAAACCAAGATATAATTAAAAACAAAAAAAATTTATCAAAACAATCTAAACTGATATTAAATCTGATACAAAGCAATAACTAAAATCAAGGCTCATTTTTCTATCGGAAAACTAGATATAATTAGGGCTTACTTAGTAAAATTAAAAGGTCTTACGTGTATAATTTATTCTAATAACATCCGCAGTAAATTACTATATAACTACAAAATTACCAACTTTCTAAAAGACAAAAACTCTATTATCCTGTAAGAAATTTTCTATTCAAGTGAATAATATGCGCAACCTACATTTTTATTATAGTTGAAAAAAATAACAAATTAAAAATTAAAATACTTAAATAAAAAAAAAAAATAAACAATTATTATAAATAACTGCCTGGGGTTTTATAATATTACTTATACATTTTATAGTTCAATAGTTGTCTGAGATTACTTATCGTAATCACTTTATTCCTACAAACTGTCAATTTATTAATATATAAATATATATCAAATCCATAGCGATTGAAAGCATATATTTTCTTATATCGTAATTCAATGCAATCAGTAATGTATGGAAAAACGCAACACCCAGTTTGAAAACCACTGGTATAGACTCTATATAATATTTATTTTTTGATGAACACACGTTTATAGGTTTATATCTAATTAAAGTTATTTAGTATTTACCAAAAGTTGCATTATCCGAATAATATTCAGTTATTACCTACTAACGGAAATCATTATTTTCCTTTACGTATTTTTTCTATTTTTTAAGGATACCATACCTGATAGACGATAGTAGTTGATTACAAGTTACTATTTTTATGTAAAAATCAAAAACGATAAAAATGTGAATTAATTTATTACATTATTAAAAGTATTATACATTATAACTATGCATTTACAATAAAACAACATCCCTCGGAGTCCTGATGAATCGTAGCATCAGCTGGTGGTACTATTAAAATATCGTAAAATTTGACACCCTGATTTACTTAAGCGGTATCATCTTATCTTCTCTACACCTAAATGACGATCGATCAGCTTGCTGATACTCCGAATTCCGATAGTAAAATAGTGTTTTTATTTGCCGTTTACCTGTGATTTAAACATTCTGAACTTCGAAGTCAGAACCTTCCAAAAACATTTAAACTTTGGAACGAATCCGAGCACCAACCTTAGATTGTACGTTTACTAAGTTTGTTCATCCGAAAGTTTACTGCCGCAGTGTTCAAAGCCAGAATTGCCTGATTCATCCAAATCTAAGCTATAAAACAATATAATATAATATGTGATTGTGGCCAAACCTGAAATCATACGGTGTCATAGTAATAATTATTATTTTTGTCTTTTATATAAATTTTAGATATTACTGTCCGAACCACAGATGTTTATGGCGATAAGGTATATTTAATATTTACTTTAGGTAGGTAGTGATTATACCTATAATTCGGTATTTAACTTCAACCTGTAGCTATTGCCTAAAAACCTAATATCTATTGTGTATTTTATTTTAACTCATTTACTAGGAGTTCTTTTATTTGGCTTTTATTAACATAATACGGTGCGGGCTTAATAAAAATGTCGACATCGGATGCCAGTAGCTCGTGTTGCTTCGAGACAATCGACCCGATGCGAGATGTACGTGCTGGGCTGGTACGTGAGGTGAGCGCGTTAGCGACATGGACGGTGTCTTCATGTAAACCCGGTAAATAATACCGCATTATATTATTATTATTATTTTTTTTTATTTTGCAAAATCTGCTGGCTCATGATTGTTAAAGCCCTAGCATTGTAATTTTTAATGAGCCCCTACACCCCATACTAACTAAAAATCTATATATTATTTTAAAATAAAAAAAAAAAAAATAGTGTAGATACCCTGTAAAATAAAAAGTAATAAACAGCAATAATATTGTAACAAATTATTACTCAAATAGTAGTTTTTTAAATTTATTAATGGACAATACTAAATGTATTTTGTTTATTAATTTAATATCTTTAACAAACAGACAAACCAAAGGAAATCATTGATCTATGTCTTACAATTTTAAGTTCTAAAAATACTTGTTCATACTTGTATGCACAGAAGTATAAGAATGTATTTGAATGCTATAAATAATGAATATAAACCTAATTTTGTAATTAATTCAAAAATAATCTGAAATATCTTAGTAATTCATGAGTTATTTAAATATGCATTTTTTTCTTTTCTCATTTGGCTATGGGCTCTTATAATTGAAAAATGTCTAAGGGCCTCCAGTAACTTCCAGGTTGATGAGTGTGTCTGACTAATATTGCATGTAGTGGCATACATTGGTGGTTTTTATAAATTTAAAGATGTATATAAACACTATCCCCGCTATAATACAATACCTATTAAATTTATTTATAAATGACTAAAATTTTTAATTAACTAAATACATTACAAACATTTAAGTACCACTTTAAAAAAAATACATTATTTGTGACAGATATTAAAATATAAAATTGTTATATTGTAGCTTATCAAGTAATACAAAGCTAATTATTGTTTTATTTATTAAATAGTCATTTCATAAAATCTAATTTTTAATTATTCTTTTTTGCAAATATTTTAATAATATTATTCACTGGTATAACCATTTTTATTAGCTATTTTTTATTAATATGCAATATCTATATTAAAGTGTTCTTGGTCCATTCTCAAGAACTACCATGTTTTCATTTCTACAATATGCAAGTATTAGTATAAGTTTAAAGTACCTAAATTTATTGACTAAAGTGCAATATTTCAGTATGTGTTTTAAAAATTTAAGAAAAGTAATTGTATTAATTAAAGAACAAATCATGTTATAATCAAAAAGTGTATTACCTATAAGGTCACATTTATTTGTGAATAAATAAATTTACCCCTATCACTTAATATACTACTGATACTTTGTTTAATATTCCTACTAGCATGATATGTCCAGGAGAGTGAATGTATAGTTGTATTTTTAATTTATATTAATATTTTACATACTCATAACATGGTTTAAAACTAAAATACTTTAAGAATCTTTAAGAGAATAAAGATAATGTTCTTACCTTTAAGTTTAATAATAACATGACAATTTACTATGTGAGACAAAGAACACATGCATTATTGACGTATTTTCTTAAATTTTATTCTTTTTTTTTACTTTGCATAAACTTCTATTATAATTTATAATACATGTATAATAATGTAATTAATTTGTTTTGAGTGTCAAATGTATTTTTTCATTGCTACTAAATATGTATGCGTGTGAAGTGATGCTTAACATAGGGTGCTAATGACTTACAGGTTAATAAGTTATCAAAAATACCGATTTATGAAATTCTTTTATTTACAAAATTATGCATATCAATTGAAAGTCATAATAGAACCAGAGAAATTAAATAATATTTAAACAAATGATTTTCAAAAAAAATAATTATGAGCATCAGCAATACCAATAATAATTGGTTAATAATTTAATATATTAAAATAAATTAACTAGGTATATAACAAACCAAATTTGTTGATTTTTTTTTTAGGTTTTGGCGCAAACCAATTAAAAGATGATAGTATAGAAACATACTGGCAGTCAAGTGGTTGTCTTCCACATTTAGTTAATATTCGGTTTAAACGTAAAACTGTTGTGAGTGATATATATATATATGTTGACTATAGAATTGATGAAAGCTATACACCACGTATCATATCAATTCGTGCAGGTACAAATTATAATGATTTGCGACAAGTTGAGTTAATTGAACTGAATGAACCATATAGTTGGATAAGAATAAAGATCAAGAATATTCATGGCTTATCATTGAAAACGCATTTGTTACAAATCGCAGTTTTAAAAAATCATAAAAATGGGAATAATTGTCAGATTAGACTAATTAAAATACATTCACCTATTTCCACAAAAGATTTTCTTCTTGGCGATTTTAGCACTGTGGAAATGAGGCAATATACTACTATAAAATAAAGGTTTTATTCCTATTAAATATAAACCAAAAAAATATATATCAGATTTCATGATAATTAATATTGCAAACATTTTCTCATTGCAATAAAAAAGGCTTGACAATTCTTAACCAAGATTTATAGTAAACTAGCTGACCCGGCAAACGTTGTTTTGCCAAAAAGTTTTTTTAAATATTAAGTTAACATTTTAATTATAATGATATTATTTTTTAATTTTTAATTAAATTATAATATTATACATAGACGGATAATTTTTAATTTGTTTTTTACTATGATAACAAAAAATTTAAACAATTAATTAGTAATTTAACATTTACTTTTTCTAATAATTTTTTTTCGTAAAAACCTTCTCCTGGCAATTACAAACAATTTAAAAAAAATTTGAGCCCAGCCGTTTTCAATTGATGAATTGTTATACATTTTTGGCTTCATTTTACAAATAAGTGTTTGGGTATCTTTCTATCTACTCTTTCATACATTATTATTAATGTTTTCATACATTTTTTTTTTTTTCTTATAGATTTGTTGATATACAAATTTTTATAATATATATATACAAATAAAAAAACAATTGTGTTTATATACTAAGGTTTCTATTTTACATTAAAGTCTATGTTATCTTTAAGCAATTGTTTTTTCATTATTATAAACATTTATCTTTTTTTTTATATACGAATAATCCTTAAGTCAAGTTTCATAAGTTTGAAACAAATAATCTTGTCATTATTTATACAAAGTTGTTTGTACAAGTAAATTATTATAGAATAATTAATTAATAAAAGTTTTTTTAAATATTCAATATTTTCATTAATAGTTTGTTAGCAATATATTGTGTTAATAACAGTTTTATTGTATTATACATATATTCAATGGCGTGGCAATGGGGGTAATCAAAAGATCATTTATCAATTTTTTTGAGGGTGGTGGATGTCATTAGGCTGATAAGAAATAATTTAAATTCATAGTTACGAATTTAGGAACATAACATACAAAAAAATATCTTTTAGATACTTTTTAATAGTTGATGGGTGGGTGGGTGGGTTGACTAAAAAATATACTGGCCTCTGAAAATATTTGAGTTTGCCACGTCACTGCATGTATTAGTTACTAATTTTATTCACTATACTATTGTATTAAACTAAGTTATTACTAATATTTCATGTTTTTAGTAGATTGGTATTAGATGGATGATTTTTGTGGCATTTTGAGGCTATTTTTAAATCATTAAAATAATTATTACGCACATTGTTTAAATTTTAAAATGTTTACTCAGAATCAGTGTAGTCTTTACTTTTTACTTTAAAATAGTACATTTTTGTATAATTAAAGCTTTTAATTTTATAATATTAGATAATTGCAGTAAAATTAAATTTACGAGTATATACATTATGTTTCTGTACAAATTAACTTTAGTTAGATAATAATGTATGATTTAAGTTTTTAATTTTCAAAAAGTATACTATTATAAAATTGATGTATTTTAATATATTCAATTAAACAAAATAATAGAGATTTACTTTGTAATTGTATTAATAAACTGCTTTTGTAAAATTACTTTTTTCTAAAAACAATTTAATAAAATTAAAAATTAATTATGTATTTAAACCTATGTAGTACTTATAATTAATAACAAAGGAAAAACATATTTAGACGACTAGTGTCAGTATATTAAATTAAAGAAACTATCAGATAAAAACTAATAGAATACTTAAAATACTGTGATGTATTATATTACTTAAAAGTAAAAAAAGAAAAATTAAAAATTACTTTAGTTAGAATTAATTATTATAATTAATTTAATTAAACTATTGTATGGCACACTCGGGAGATGGTATTTTGCGCCATTTTAATTACCTGTAATTTGCGCCATCAAAAGGTACATTTAAGGACGTATGTAATTTGCGCCAAAATATAAAAACATAACATGTATTTTGCGCCACATATACAAATTAATTTTGGTAATTTGCGCCACGACAGAAAACGAAAAGGAATATGTAATTTGCGCCACACTTTTAACTTCAGTATTGCTGGAATTTACCAGATAAATTTACTGAAATAATCACATAGGATATACAATAGTCAATAATACGTATCGACGTGTATCCAATATAATATTGTTGTGTTCTACTGATAATAGACATATCATCTCTATTAGATTACGTCTAATCTAACGAAAATTTTCAATCTATTGTTACATATTGTTAATATTGAACAGCAATGTCGCGAATCGTGATATTTACAATTAGTCCGATATAAATCGCGTGTGCGTTCATGTTATTTATTTTAATATTACGTAATATTTATAACGCCCGTAGAAAAATGGTGCCACCATTACCTAAAACAATGGAAGAATTGCAAAATAGTATAAGCAATTTAAATTTGAAAACGGACCTCAATGAGCAATTTTTATTAATAAATGATCCGAACTGTCATATAATAATATTTTCATGTGACACAAATTTAAAAGTTCTATGCGAATCTGAGATTATATATATGGATGGAACTTTTGAATATTGTCCCAAGTTATTTACGCAATTGTTTTCTTTGCATGGTTTATGCAATGATCATTATATACCACTATTATTTGCATTACTTCCAGACAAAAAAACTTCAACTTACGTAAATTTATTTAAAAATATCATACATTTGTGTAATGCACGTGAACTTTCTCTAAAACCAAATTTATTTATATCTGATTTTGAAGAAGCAATTCATGTAGCATTGAGACAAGTCTGGGATGACACTAAAATATTTGGTTGTAGATTTCACCTAACTCAGTCGTGGTATAGAAAAATTCAGGAATTAGGATTATCCAACGTATATCAAAACAATAAAACAGAAGAAAGCAAGTGGCTAAACCATACATTTGGGTTGCCATTTATTTCTCCAAATGAAGTCAGTAACTGTTTTATTGAAGATTTTATGTCATCGATTCCTAATGACATAAGATTTCAAAAATATGCCGATTATTTAGTTGACACATATATCTGTGAAGAGGCTAAATTTCCACCAATAATTTGGGCTGCGAATATCGCGTCACTATCTCTCACTACTAATGCTTGCGAATCATATCATTCATGTTTCAATTCCGAGTTCTATCACCCACATCCTACTATTTACCACTTTTTGGATGTACTGAAAGGATTTCAAACCGAAACATTGATTAAAATTAAAAGTATACATCTTAAAAAACGAAATTCTACTAAAAATAAAATTCGTTTGGAAACTTTTCAACAAATATATGAAGACTACAGACAAAATAAAATTGACAGAAAAGGCTTAGTTTCGTCATTAAGCTATAAATATAAAAAAAAACGTGAGTAAGCTAAGTATTATAAGTAGCTAGGTATTTTATTTCAAAAATTATATGTTATACTACGAAAATTGTACATACTTAAGAAACTTTAAATTTATACATTTATTTACAATTATTTTTTTTTTTTATTTATTAAAATTAAAATGTTTCAGCATATTATCATTTTTTATATACCTATCAGATTTTTATAAGTTTTATTACTAAACGAAAATTTTACATACTAAACGAAACTTTATATTTATTCATTTATTTACAATTATTTTTTTTTTTTATTTATTAAAATTAAAATGTTTCAGCATATTATCATTTTTTATATATCAGATTTTTATATGTTTTATTACTAAACGAAAATTTACTTATTTAATATACATGGAGTTCGTTTTGTGAATTTTGTGAACTGTGGCGCAAATTACAATTTTTGTAGGTAAACGATGGCGCAGATTACATATTGCCTTTTTACTTAGTTTTATTTGGCGCAAATTACAAACTAAAAAAGTGGCGCAAATTACCAAAATACAATTTTAGATGTGGCGCAAATTACATATATTTTTTTTTTTTTGGGTTGTTTTTGGCGCAAATTACATACGCCCGCACACTCAAGTTCAGAATGGAAACTAATTAAACAAATTATACTTTACTTTTAAATAGAAGTCTGTTTAGGTACTGAAATACTAGTTTAGAACCAATCGAAAACAGTTTATCAGAATGGATTGATATTGATATCTGACAATATTTTGATGGATTCCTAAAATATTTTTACACTTTCCGTGTAGTTCTAATTAGTATAATTTTCTAATGTTTACTGTGTACTGTGTAGTGTTTATCACTCGCTATATAAAAATATTTTTATTGTTCAAAATTATAATAAACATTAATTTTTTCATATTTTTCTCTATAGTTTCAGTTGTTAAGATTGTATAACACACATTGTTACAAGTTTCTAAATTACATAAACGACAAAATCAAAAATCAACTAAAATTAAAATTGTATTAAACGTATGTTCAACATATGTCCAACTTTTGGTTATGTAATTTTAAATGATTCCAATTAAATGTATTTGTTTGAATTAAATGTTAATTGCCAACGACTATTACTTTTAAAATATATTCAATTTGAAACCTAATGGAAATTATATTATAACAAAGCAACAGGATTATTAAGAAAAAGTATTAAAAGTCTTGTAGAAAGTATACTATGATATTGATTGGTAAAAAAATTGAATTACTTATATAAATTCATTCATTGGTTACTTAAATTATTACTATACATTAATCATAATTTTTAAGAATAGGAGATGCATTGAAACAAAATATTATTAATTATGGAATGCTAAAACTTGGAAAAAATATAAAAGTAGTTTAAAGTGGATCAAAGTCATAATTTTTTTCAAAGCTTAACTACTTAGTCGCTCTTAACCCATTATTCTTTAAGATATATTTTAAATTTTTTTAAACAGGAAAATTATTCTTTACAATTTGCTTTGTTAGTGTGGTTATGAAAATTGTTAATAACACCATTATTAATGAAAAACCTATTTAAATATTATTTTGTCTTATATGTAATATATTCTATATTTGCTTCTAATTTGTCAAATTATGAAGTACCTATTGCCATATTTTTATTAAATAATGTATTAAAAATTTTTAATGACCTATGTTGCTAGAAAATTATTTACCTAGTTGTACCAAATTAGTATAAAAAAAAAAAAATTATGATTGAATACAATGTATACTTGTCGCACTTGTTTAAAAAAAAATATTAATTACACTCACATTTATGATTT